ATCTTGGCTATATATACGGACAGTGTTGAGCAGCGATTCTATTTCAGATGATGTTTTTCCATACAGCTTCAGATCATCCATGTAAAGGAGGTGGGATAGTCTGGCAGATGTTTTTGATGTTTGATAGCCATGTCCTGAGTTATTCAGTATTGTTGACAGAGGAAACAGTGCAATAACAAATAGTAATGGTGATAATGAATCTCCTTGAAATATTCCTCTCTTGATATTAACCTCTCCCAGCTTCTCACCATTGATCTGCAACTGTGTCTTCCATTGTGCCATCGATCTTTGCACAAATTTTCTGATGTTTCTACTGACTCCTGTTATTTCTAGGCACTTGATTATCCAATCATGTGGCAGAGAGTCAAATGCCTTTTTGTAGTCAATCCATGCCACATTCAGGTTGGTCTTCCTTCTCTTGCAGTTTTCCAAGATCATTTTGTCTATTAGGAGTTGATCTTTTGTTCCTCTGCTATTGGGGCGGTTTCCTTTCTGCTCAGGTGGAAAGAGATTGTTTTCAACTAGATGCTGTTGCACTGCATCAGCTACTACACCAGTTAGTAATTTGAAAGTTGTTGGTAAGCAGGTAATTGGCCTGTAGTTACCTGGTGTTGCCCCTTTTGCTGGATTTTTCATTATTAGGTAGGTTTTCCCAGTTGTTAGCCACTTTTCAATTTCTCCTCCTTGTAGTATATTGTTGAATTATTATTATTATTATTATTATTATTATTATTATTATTATTATTATTATTATTATTATTATTATCATCCTCCTCCTCCTCCTCCTCCCCCTCTGCCCACAAGGATCTGATAATTTCTTCTTTTTCTTCCATACTCATACCATTTTTCTTTTTTACTATGTCCTTTAAAGCATGGGCAGAAATTGTCCTGTTTTCACTGATCATACATAAATGGTTCTGGATATCTTATCCCAGAAAAAATGGGATAAATAGGCTATGTGAAAAATATAATATAATAGTGGATCTAAAGATCAAAAGAGATTTATATTATTTCTAGAGAAACAGATTACCGTAGTATTCCTGCAATATAGGGCAGGTGTCAACCCTTAATGTGCACTTTTGCAAATTTTGTCAAGTCAAAAGATTCTTTGTCAGATTTTAGTTCTGATTATATGTAAATGTTGTGAGAATGAATAAGATTAATTCTACCCTTTTGATAATTTCCTGCACACTGGCAATACTCCTAAGTGACATACATTGAGAATAAGGAAGATGACCTTGATGGAGATAAGCAGGAACTGTTATCTATGCAAAAAGGGCTGAAGCATTTTTAAAATCCACAGTGAAAAAACATTCAGAAGCAACTCAGGGAGATGTTCCCCTAATTCAATGAACTATAAGGAGAAGAAGGAACACAGCACAATCAGATTTCCAAGATTGTGCTACTGTAGCCAATCACAATAAAAGAAGATGTCCGGTGAATCTGATTTCCTATTTTGGTCTACTTAGTGCAGATGACACATATAATCAGTTTTTCATAAAAACTTTCAAATGTGGAATTAGGAATTTTGGCCAGTTAGGGATCAATCTCATAGTTATTTCCTTAAATGTCATTGACTTGGTGATTCCTAGTAATCATGATTTCTAGTAAAGGACAAATTATTACCTGTGAGAAGTGGTCTGACCTTGTAAAAACACTCCTATAATTTATTTGAACCTATTTATCCACCTTATTTGCTGTCTTCTTCTCTCAACCTTCTCCAACAGTTTTTTGTTTTCCTTTTGTTTCTCATTTATCATCCACTTATGCACATGCCCGAAATCTGTGAATTTTTAATAGTTGGTTATTACCTTAAGGCAGCAATTCAGGAGTGATTGATTCTTCCTGGTCCATGATACTCTTTGTAACCATCTCCAAATCCACAATTCAAACAAGTGTATCTTCTTCTCTTACTCTTTCTCAGTGACCAAGGTTCATAGCCGTACTATTACTTCACTATTTTATTTTATTTTTTGTTTCATAGAAATATCTTTATGCTTCATTATTGTGCAGAAAATATATTATTTTTTTTCTCCCTTACAATATCCTATTTATTATTGTGATGCACTGTCTATCTGTATATATTCTTGAACCCATATACATATCATGAATCTTATTCCTATTTAAATTTAAGCAGACTCGTGCAGTATTATATGCTCGAGTACTACCAACATATACAATAGTTAGTTTCAAGGAGGCAAAGCAAAACTAGCAATTCCTGAAATCTCTTCTCTTCCTTATTCCAAATGGAAGGCTAATATTAGCTATTGATATCTTTGTTCTGAAGATGCTCAAGCTACAGTATTTGAGTGTAGACATTATCCAAAGTATAGAAATGAAATAAAAATCAATAAACCAAAGAAACACAGCAAATAAAAAAAACAGTGAATATAGGTAAATTTAGTGTACAAAGAGTGTTTGTATTCATCACATATATTCTACATATATTTGTTCTACCATGTCCATATACACTTAGACCACCCAGAAATGCCTTGAGTTCTTTAAACTCCTTACCTCTATTATTTTTAGGATTTTCAGATTTCATCCAACCATGGCTTTCTTGGACTTCCCTTGGCCCCTTCATTCTTCCTTCATATATTTCTTTTGCAACTTGATTCTTATTCATTTTCTCAATATAACTGAACCAACGTAACATCCCTTTTGATACATCACTCAATCCACATTTATTTACCACTCATTTCATTACTTTACACATCTTTTTACTTTACCTCTTCTTGTTTTATTATTCATATAAGTAACTAATCCTATCATATAACCAATCACACCGCCATACTAGGTTAATATGTGTCCAGTAATACCAACCATACTTACAAGTGTACTATTTTTTTATAGTATTTTTATTTTATTTTTATCATTTATTTTCTGGATACTGCAGCATTTGTTTGAGCATAATTATTTCCATTCTATTCCAGGCAAATTCTTCACACATACACACATATGTACATATATACATATGGACAGACATGCTTAAATCATGAATTTTTAAAGAAAAATCTAAGCCAATACATTAAACAATTACTGTGTTTCTGAGTGGCCCATTATTTTTGGGTATTCTTTTGCCTCATCCCCAACCATCTATTCATGTAACCTAACAAAATAATTTTCGTTGTTGAAGCACATTCATCAGGATGTTGCATAATTTTTCCTAAAACCAATCACCATTTCTTCTTCCATTTTTCCCATTAACTGGTTGTATGACATGGAACCTTCATCAATTTATGAATTCCTACTTTTAGCTACATGCACTAAAGTCTACATAGCATCAGTTTTGTTGCCAAACATATAGTATAGCTTTTTCAAATTAAACCTATACCTTCCCTTCTGTTATTCATCAGTTTCACTCCACATATCAACATTATTCAATCTATTACAATTTTACCCTTTGTCTTAATTTATGACACGTAATAGAGCAATTTTTTCTATTTCGTTTCATTATGCTCTTTATCACTAATCACACTAATATATCAATCTGCTATTTTCTACACACCATCATCATTGTAAGATGAACCCACAGATGCACTTCCCATCATGTTTAATAAGATAGAGATAATGTAGACTAACTTAACAATCTCAATCATATCATTAAACATACACATTTCCCTGCTAATGGTAAAGATGATATTAGCATAGTTCAACAAACACAACCAAAGCCCAGTTTTACTCCAACCATGCTCACACACAGCATTTTATGATCATTCATAGAGACAACATTTTAAGCCAGGACACCAACTAGGAAATACATATAACATACAAAGATATATTCAGGACACCAATTCCTACGTAGCTTAATTTCAAAATATGTTAGCAAATAACCAGTTCGGCTCAGGCACTGAAGAGAGAGGAGGAGGAGGAGTGGCAGAAAACATGGTAAAAAGAAGGATAACAGAAAGAAAGGAATGGCCCCTGCCTACCACCAGTTCTTAATCTCAACTTTTTGGCCCAGGATGACTGATCACTTGAGGGAGAAGGAAGATTCACCTCCCTCTCTCATGCTCCCCTTCTCTGAAAGCAGTAGATCTACCAATCGTGTTCTCATGGCCAGCTAGCTGTCATCTTGGTATGAGCTGCAGGAGGAGATTCTCCAGTTGGTGAAACATAAAATGGCTGTCTCTCCTTCACAGTGAAGAATCTTCATCCTTTAAAAAAATGCTAGAGCTATTCTGCTACAACTTGTGTTTTTATAAAAATGATAGGTAGCATGTAAATGTATTTAGCAAGACTTTATTTTCAAAGACAAAATAAACATGCATATTCATTTAGCAAGACATCCAATATAACACACATTTCTTCATACAAATTGCTACGTTAACATGCAAACATTCTTTACAAACTTACAACATATTCAGCATATACGTATCACTAACAAAGCAAAATAATCTGTTTTAAATAACTTATAATTTATTATGTCTTAAAAATCCTTCCTATCTAGGTTTAGGTATAGTGAAAACATTTTCTGTTATTTCATTCTGAAAATGACCTACCTGGCAAGCTATTTAATTAAAATCCCAGCTGAATATTTATGCTTTCCTATTTTCACTCTCCAAATATGAAATTTTTGCCTCTACAAAAACCATTTTCAGCTGGTGGAATTGAATGCTTGTATGCGATAAATCATACTTTTATTTCAGAATCTTAACCTGGAAGGACAGTACAAAATGATATACTTAGCATTTTCAGCAAGACGGAAAACATTTAGGAAGAAAAATCTCTTTTAGAACTTGCTGCATTAATTGTTCGATATAGCACCTCAATGCCTGATATAATTTGTAATCCTGATACCTTTATCCAATTCTTTTGCTAAGAAAAGTTCTTTTCAGATGGTCTAGGTTTTTAAAAAAAGTTCTTTTCTCTCTTTGTATGCATCCCTCTTGGAAAAACTGAATGTCTTTGTTCTAGGTGCTGTTCATTATTTCTGCCACTGTAGGTTGCCTGCCACTGTTTGTCTCTATGTCTATCAAAACAGGCATGGCTGCACGTACCTTATAATGTGATTCTGTCTCCTCTTCCTGAGTAGAACTGGAGGGAGATGGTGTAGCAGATTTGCTTCCAGGGGGTGATGGGGAACCATGTGTAACACCGCTCCTCAAACCCATCTGAGAAATCAGCTGTGACTGGCTGAGGGCACTCATGTGACTGGTTAACATCCCTGCTCGATTGATCAGGGGAACTTGATGGTTGGACTCATAGGACGTAGCATCTGAGTGGACCATCTCCTGGATCTGAGTTAGGAGAATATTACTTTTAAATTAAATTGTATTTATTATCTTATCAAAATTATATGATGATACAAGTTGGGCATGGTTGTTACCAAGGTATCAATCATCTTTGGGGAAAAACTGAAGTTTCATGCTGGGAAAAATTACACTTAATTTGTAATGGAACTGTTTCCATCATATCAAACACTTCTATGTTAGCTTTATTTTTAGTTTGCAGAATATTCAGCAATGTATTTTTAGATAAAATTGTACTACATTTTTAATATCAATCTATTGCTGAGGATTTCCTCAGGTGCTAACACTCTCCTACAGGTAATATTTGGCAAATTAAGGCATCCCTTGAATTCAAATGCCATGTCTTACAGCAGAACTGTTATAATGGGCTAACCCTATAATCCTGTACTAATCTGACATTAATCAGCAGTATTAGCAGTTATTTTGAACTGGGTCATGCAGTATTCTGACTCCCAAATATCAGAATTTGAAAGTGGGAAAGGGGAGATACCTCATTCCAACATGCAGTGGACTTCCTGGTTGTACTTTGCTTTTCAAAATAGGGTCATACAAATTTGTTTCCTTATTTTACTGTATATTCCAGCAAGATAGCCCCATTTTATCATCAAAAAAGAAAGTCATAAAATGTTACCATATAAAAGAAACAACAATGAAGAGATTAATTCTTGAATGTAGCCAAATATGAGTCCAAAGAAATATACAATATTTTACAGTAATAGTTATACGAAGAGCTGGTGGCAGTCATGGTTAGAAGCCCCTTAGCACAGTGCCAGTTGTACCCTTTCCTAGATCATGAGACCCTGTGCACTATCACTTATGCCCTGGTCGTCTCCCGGTTGGATTACTGCAACATGCTCTACATGGGGATACCCTTGAAGAGTATTTGGAAGCAACAACTGGTACAAAATGCAGCAATGTGGACAGTTCTGGGGGCCCCTTGGGTGGTGCATGTGACACTGCTCTCATACAAGCTGCACTGGTTGCCAGTTTGCTTCCGGGTCTAATCCAAGGTGTTGGCCATTACCTTTAAAGCCCTTTATGGCAAGGAGTCCAGGAATTATCTTATCCCATTGAGATTAACCCATCCCACTTTTCTAGGGGAAAAGGCCTATTCAGATCCAGTCGGCCTAAGAATTTCAGCTGGCAGGATCCAGGAGAAGAACCTTTTCAGCTGTGGTTCCCACCCTCTGGAATATTTTCCCATCACAGGTGAGATCTGCCCCTGCACTCCTGGCCTTCGAGAAGAGCCTAAAAACTTGCTTCTGCAACTTGCCTGAGGCCCTGAAAGGGGCCCATTATATTGGGAGCAGCTGACTGGATAGAGAAAATTCTTTCCTCAAGGCTACACATCATCTGGGTTTTTAATTTTCATTGCTTTATTCTATTTTAATTAAAAAAAAATTTATTATATTGTAAGCTGCCCAGAGTTGCTGTATTAGTAAGCTGGGCATAGAAAACCAATAAATAAGCAAGCAAACAAACAAATAAAGTGATACAGTAGAACAATTTTTTGGTTCAGTTTTCCTAAAATAATACTAAAATTTGAAAAAATAATAGTTTCATATGTGAAACTAGCTGAAAACCTGAAAACAAAATATTAAAAGAGTTTGGAAAGCACAAGTAGAAGGAAATAAAAGATTTTGTTTACAGAACAGGATTTCTTATACTATTCTCAATTAAAATATTTATTTAAAGTATTTTTAATGGAAGATAAAATCCACTACTGTCAATTTAAAAAAGGAAAGACAGCTTCAAATGCATGACTATGTTCAGCAGGTCAGCGGTTCAAATCTCACCGGCTCAAGGTTGACTCAGCCTCCCATCCTTCTGGGGTAGGTAAAATGAGGACCCAGATTGTTGGGGGCAATGTAAATATATATATATACATTGCTTACTGGTGTACACCGCTGAGAGAGTGCTTGCACTTAAAGCGGTATATAAGTCTCATAAATAAATTTTTATTAGTCAAATGAATTCAAATCTGCATTGACAAATTTAAAAAAAAATCATGTTCTTTTTGAAATTTGGAATGCTGAGCTTACATGAAGAAAATATCAATTGATGCAAATACAGCTACAATAGTTAATGTTTCAACAAGAACCTATTTCCTTAAATGGAATGTTCATGACAAAGACCACAGAGCTCACTAGTTTTCAAATTGCTGGAGGCCAAAGGATTTGAAATTAACACTTTTTTGAAAAAAGCATAAACGTATCTCTGAAGTCCATCAAGAATTTCTATACTTTTGTGCTCTTATATAACCTTTATGATAACTCTACTATCTAAACACTGTTTTTTCTTCCTAATGCTTATGCGTGGAGCTACACATCATCTGGGTTTCTGTGCAATTCTGTTGGTTTCCTCAAATTTATTTTCTTAAAATTCTTGATATTCCTCTTAAAAACTTCCAGTGTGTATGGAAACTGTTTTCATTCCTTATTGTATTTCAAGCCCGCGGCAATGAAGTCAGTAATTATGACCAAGATCACAATGGACACATTATTACTATCAGGTTTCTTTTTTACTATGATATTTTACCATGCTTATCATTATCCCTTAATGTTCTTCAAAACAAACTTATTTTGGCCTCCTGTAAACTTTTTAATACTTTAAGAATTGAAACAGACTTGGAAAACTGAAGAAAAATATTTAATTTTATTATACTCTTTTGAGATAGGAACCTAGAATGTTGTTGTAGCATAAACTTTTCACAAGGCTGCTCTTCATCTGAATTTATATCTATTTATCTGTTTTAAAAGTTAAATTTGGTGATGCAGCATTATTCTAATTATGGATAGAATCTTCGCATTCAAAGACAATTTACTCTTTTAAATGCTAGATAGTAGGGGTAAACCAAGATTCTTTCCACAAGCAAGGTTTGGGATTTGTGTAGATCTCAAGCAGCTGAGCCAGTTAACTATTGGTTTGAAAATGTGGTATTTTTAGTTGTGTTGATAACAAATGGCTGTAACATTATGGACTAGGAAAAGCATTAAAAGACCCAGTAAAAAGTGAGGGATTTTTGGTCACATTTAAATAGCAGACTGAAAGGAATCATAGGGTATCTTCCTCCTCTGGAAAACCATATAACAGTTTTAACTAAAGTTAATACAAATCTATAATAGTGAATTAGATAAGCAGAAAGAGTAAGTTATTTCTGTGATATCCAAAGAACAAAATGTGATCTCCAACAAAGCCCACAAGATTCTATCCTTCACAAGATTCTATCGTTCGTTAGTTCTCCTTCAAAAAGAGACTAGATGCTCAGAAATAGTGGCCTATCACTTTCATTCTGCTATTACTGCTAACATTAAAAAAAGGGGGGAGAGACTTGTTAATAAAAAAGCCAGAACACTGAAATACAACTGCTCCTTCACTTGTTTTGGAAATAAAATTAATCCAGATACTTAGGTACTATCAATTGAGACCCAGTAGAAACCAGCAGGAGAGAAATCAAATACTGTCTTAAGCTTTTGCCAGACTCTCCCCTCCCACTTTTTATATTAATCTGATTAATGTTAACATGACTTTAAAGACTCAGGGCTTTATTTATTAACAATTTTCATTTCCAATAAGCCCACTGAGGTGCAATCTCTCATTAGCAGAGGACTCCTGCCAACTCCATTAGCAGCTCATAAAGTAAGAAATGTAGGGAAGAACTGGAAGGGCTCTGTAGGCTTCAGCAGAAATAAACCCAAATTCAGAAGCAGATTTACTGCTACAGGTCAGGAATCAAGAGCTTTTCTACAGCATTAGACAGCATGTAGGGCTCAGATGTTCAAAAGACACAGAGAGGGAGCTTAAGAGTGGGGAGCTGGCAAGGCTTTGTAAGAGCTGTTCTTGTCAGTTCTGTTAAATAAATAAGAGAATTCAATATACTTTTTAGAATGCGTCACATTTTCAATCCATTTCTATTTGTCCTCCAAAGAGCTGAATGTAGAATTCTGTAGTTGAATAACAAGCAGGCTTGTTTTATAGGACTTGTTCACAGGAATCTGTCCACATGACTTAACGATGGCAACATGAGCTGAAGATTTTAATGTGCGAATGAACAACTGTGAAGAACTTTAATGCCAACTCAAATTATCTCAAAAACAATGGTTGTTGCTAAACTAGCTTCCAGATTAAGCTTCCAACAGAGAATCAGAGAATTATACATTTATATGAATCAGATTATACATGTCAAAATCCACACAATCAGCTATTTGTATACACAGCTTCTCCTGCAGCTCTGGAAAAAAAGGTCAAGATACAAAGGACATTTTCTAGATCACTTGCAGGGAAAAGAATTTGTTTCTGAATTAATAAATTGTGCAGAAACTGTTTTAAAATGCTAAATAACCATTCTATAAGAAGCAAAAAGAAAATGATCATATCTACTTATCTAGCATACAATGAAATCCTTAAAAAAAGAAACTAATATTACACTGTCAACTTTCTCTGTTAAGCAAGGTTATTTAAAAGGGCTAGTTCTAATTACATGTAGAATTATAAATTTCTTAGAGCTCTTTAGATTGCATCTGTTTCATGAAGATGTTAAATGTTAAAGATGATTGGCCAGCTAGTAAGAAAAATAATGCATTCTCCTTATTTTTCATTCATTTTTTATAATTATTGAAAGATATAATGTAATGTGTTGAGTTCTAAACAAATCTAAAAGATCATTTCCATCTATAGTTACATTAGTCTCTTGGGCAAACACTGTATTAAGATTTCTTTTTAAATTCTTATTATGGAGCCAGTGGACCACAACACCTCCATTTATCCATTAAATATGTAATCATATTTTTTCTTTAAAGTGAATATTATTTATACAGCAGAGCAGAACTAGTCCAGGAATGTAATTATGAATATGAGACCTGTGCAGAAAATTTATTATGAAAATTTTCAGAAATGAGTATAAAGTCAATCTAGCCCCATTAATATCAGTAGAAAGATTCCAGCTAACCACATGTGGCTTGGATTGGGACCCTGATATGCTTTATCCA